ATGTATTTCTGTATCCTGAGTACAGATAATGATTTTATAATGATTCAAAAATAATAATAATAGCTATTCTATTTTTCAAACTGAAAATTCCCCCCAATATTGTGGAAAAATTTTTTAACAGTTAGCCCCTAAATGAATTTAAAAAGAAAAAATAAGGTTCACCTTAGAGTAATAATATTTACACTTCTAAAAACAGTTGAAAATTAGTTGGTTACAAAAAGCGATTGATCTGCTGCTGGTTGACAATATACTGCCAAACAAAACAATTTAATATTATAACCGAAACTTGACGTCAGATTCATCCACAGTGTTATATATTAATGATACAGTAAATAGTGTCCGCTACTCAACCACCCTCAAAATAGCAGTTCCACTTTTGCTGCACTATATTTAAGTTAACTTTTCATGGCATTTGAACATTTCTACAACAGTCTCTTAGTGGTTTTCTCAAAGTTTGCTTTTCTAAAAACTTTTGCAGTTGGAAATCCAGGGTAAATACATAACTGAACTTTCAAACTCAAGAAACGATTGATGGTGGTTAATTCAGAAAGAGTCTGCTAATGAATTGGAGAGGTGACAAACTTAATATACTAATTCAGACGATAACGACCTATAACGACCAAACTTCTGACATCTCCCGACCATCCTAAACTCATAGACCGACTAAACTGTGAAAATATCAATAAAACATACTAATACTAGCCACTTTATGTACAAGTTACTGCCCATACCTAGCCCGTGGTCTGCACGTTGTATGAAGATGCTATCAAAACGTCCATCTCTACACCAGTATCATTCCTTAAAAACCCTATTCAGCTTCTATTAAAGCGAGCAGTTTTAACTAACAGGTGGCTGAGTCGCAAGCATATTTCGCTTCAAAAATTACTGGATTGTCTGTGCCGCATTTGTTCTGCAATATCACATGTTATTTTAAACCTGAGAAATTAATGCTGATCATATCCACAGAATTAAGCATCGTCAAACATGAAAAAATACCACACATGCATATAGTTCTGTCTATTGGAAAAGTCATACAATAACATCAATTTAAATGAATCAACAGGTGAAACTGTAAGGCACTCTGTTAGAACGATCATCTAGACTAAGCCGACTAGTGTATAATTTATCAGTAAACCGTTTACAGTTATCTTGCCAGAAGTATAACCAGTACGTACTCATGCAGTAGTTGTAAAAGTAACCAAATTAAGCCATCATTTACACCTCATCGTTCGCAACAAATCTGATCCCAATAGCGACATAACGATTTTACTTAAACATCACTATCATTCCGAAAATAGCCTGAACCAGAAATTAAATTAAAACAATCATAAACTGTAACCTTCCATCTTTCGCGAAAATCAAGGTGGTCTCAGAATCACTACCAGAACTGCTACTAACACACTTTATTTTGAATACTAAAGCTATTGTAAGTCTCTAAATTTCGGTTTCGTTCTTGACAACATAGCCGCAGCTGCTTGTTTTAAATCATCGGATTGCAGAAAAGCTTGATTCCATGATTTAATGAACTCCAAGGAATCAGTGACTGTATGATCACGAGCAATGTTAAGCAAAAGTTTTGCACCAATTACAGTAGTCGGACTTTTTTCAGCGATTGTAGCAGCTAAATTCAAGGATTCATCCAAACAACTTGCACGTGATATCACCTTTGAAACAAAGCCTATAAGTGAAATTGATAGAAGCAGAATAGCATTAAGCTAAAAGATATGAGTCTTAACCTCAAACGTATGAGGTTAGTTCTAAATAATATCGTTAATAATAATAATTAACCAAATAGTAGTGCTTCAGCACTGTCGAACTGTCGTCCAGTATAAGTCCATTCTCTAACTACGCTATCGTTACCGACTAATTTGTTAATGCGGTTCAGAAATCCGACATCTGCTGTGATTCCCAAATCAACTTCCTAGAAAAGTATTAGAGCCACTCAAAGTCCAATATGGTTATAACTTAAAACATGACACAGCAAAGCAGAACCTTAACCGAAAATACAGCATCATCAGATGCGTAGCGTATATCAGTTGCAGATGCTATGCTAATTCCAGCACCGACACACGGACCACAAATTGCAGCAATGACTGGTTTCTGACAGTTCTCAATCGATGAGATACTTTCTTGACATTGTTTGATTAAACGACGTAAAATCAGTGCTTTACGACCAATATCTAAATTACTGTCTTCAGTCACTCCAAGAAGCTGCTGAAAATGTTATTTATATACTTAACAGTATCTCAGTTCGGTGTGTTCTCGTTACTGCTACCTCGATCGGTCAAAATAACCGGTCGTTTAGCTCAACTGTCCAATAAATCATCTTACTTTCTTCAAAACTGCGAGCTATTTATCAAGTGAGATAGTATTAAAAGATGAATATACTTACAGGCAGAGTAGTTTTCACATCAAGACCTGAGCAGAATGCATTTTCAGATCCACTCAAAACAATAGAGCGACAGTCCGGACAAACGCTCAAGTAATCGAATATCAGCCGAAGTTCTCTGAAGGATTTCAATTACAGAAATGACGTACACTCCTCAGTTACCTCAGTAACCTTACGTACCAGACTAAAATCCTCTTTCTCATCTCCAAACTCTTTTACCTATTTTAAAAAAACCACTCAGTATGTGGTCCAATATGTTAAGAAACAAAAAAGTAATACTTCAAAAGCAAACCTCCAAATTTCATCGTTAACTGCGTTCTTGAATTTCGGCCGATTAAAACAAACATGGTACACATTTTTTTTTGGCTGAGAAACTTTAATAGCTGATGTTTCTGGCATCTGTGGTTCGTCCAGCAATGCTTTTGACGTTGATGACATCGCTGATTTTGAAAAAAACCAGCCTCTTGCTGAATTTTGAAGTAACGGAATCAGTGTCCGCCTCAACGTTGACTGCATCATTTGTAGTATTCTAAGAGTAATCTGCAAATACAGTTGTTACCATCAATTCATACATGGACAAGAATCATCATGAATTAGCATTTAGTAAGCTCCATTATATCAAACAGTCTCGGTTCTGTAAGCAGAGAATAAATCTAAGTGCTCTTTTTACAATTCAGTTTTATTCTTTCTTGTCGACTAACACTTAAAAGTACATCGACAGACGCATATTAACAATACCACCTAGAATAATTTTGCTCTTCAGAAATCGTAAACCTATTCTACTGTCAGGATTCTCTAACAAAAACAGGAAACAAAGAAATAAATAAACTAATTCAAGGAACTACCAACATTGGTTTTCCTTAAGAAACGGAAAACCCAATGCCGATCAGAAACTAGCAAAATAATCTTTAATGAGGAAGCAAAGCTTTATTAATAGACAGTGAAGTGCCTGAAAGCAAATGACAATCTTTGCTTAATTAACTTTGACGCTTACTAAATCATAGCTTTGAAGTAACCGATCAACAATTGAAGAACACTTTAATGACCATCAATTTCTACGTGCCAAAAAGAAATACTGAGATGCATATGCCGAGTAACAACAGAGCCTGTAGTGCTCTTTGGACTTTGATTGCACGGTACACGCTGGTTCACCGCTTTTGAATCTCAGCATTAAAACTGTCCATTCTACTCCAGTCTTCCAATCAAGTCTACGGTTGATTTGAAGTGAAATTGTTTGTAATGACCATGATCAACAGAAATTGTAAACCTTATTCGGGCATTACCGAGACCATACAGCAGTAATATCAAAACGACACCAAAATACAGAATCTGGCTGCTTAATTGTCTGTAGTTAATTACCACCTGTCTCTGACAAATGTAAACTGTTCTTTTAGCAATGGTGAAAACAGCAGACTAACAAATAACTTCCTCTACACACAAAAATGGTAAAACCGTCTTAGAGTACGGCAGTTTTTCGCTGATATAATGTTTTTGTTGTTCTTCGTACTTCAATCTGCAATCATTAAGTTTATTATGTACTCATTCTGAGTATTTTCAATGACGGGTATCTTTACTGCTTTGAAAAAAAAAAAAAACCACCTATTATAAACAACTGAATGAGTACCCAATGTAGTACCCAATGTAATGAGTACCCAAGTACCCAAGTACATTGAAGCAGTCATCTCAAACTTCACAAAGTTGTCCAATTAGGATGTTTATCAAAACTCCCAAAGACGAATTAACTTGAAAGCTACAGCTAGGTGTGTAAGATTTCAAATTACGACCACAGACTAGGGGAAAATACGTTGTACGGGAAAATAAGTTTTCCAGTTATTACTGGCTAAGCACATTTGGCTGGTACAGTAAAACCATATCAGTTCTTTTGTTCTTTTGGGAGAAAATAATTGCCATAAACTGCTCAGTGATAGTCTCCATGAAAGACAATATAAAAATTTAACCAAATAATTTCACCAAACAGCAGTAGTACTAACTTTTGTAAAAGGACTTTTTTCGCCAGCCTTCGGTTGAACCGGTTAGTTAATGCCACGTATTAGTTTCTCTCTCTCCTAAGCATATAAACCTAAAGTAAGATTTGCAAAAATTCTGACTTAATATCTGATCTTCAGGAATACGATAAAAGTACCCATATAATCATACCGTCCATTTTTAACCGCCATCAGGCAGCATTTTCACTTCCGTAACATGTACCTGCCCTACTTCAGTCTAACAACAACAGCTGTCCAGTTTACGTCCCACAGATTCAGATGTCAACAGACCCAATATGTAATGCACACCAAAAATCCGACAACAATAGATTAGGAATTATCACCAATTGAAACGCCTTTATAGATACCTTCCAGCTCGATATTGGGAGACCTATGTAACGCCATCTGTTTTAGCTACCCACGCAGTATACACCGCCGTCGCCAAATACAGCGTGGCTGGCTTTACAACAGAATCAGGCAACAAATAAAAGAAAACCCCGAATACATTTTTGCCTTTTTAAGTCAGTAAAACTTTTATTCAAAGTTTTTACAAGAATATATATAAAAAAAGATAAATAGAAACGGTAGCAAGTCAAAAAAAAAAAAGCAGATAAAAAGTAATGTGGAAAAAAAAAGGTTTGAAGACCTCTGATTGCCAGTGCCCGAACGCTTTACCAAACAGGCACCAGCAACATCAGCCTAATTATCTGATCAAAAAAAAAAAAAAATGGCGAAAACGAATGCTATATCCAACCTACAAGACAAAAATATAGAATTCGTAATGGAAAAAAAAAATTCTGCAGTAAAAAAAAAGTAATGGAACAGACAATAACATAAAACTAATAAATTATGCAATGCGAAGGATATCATCAGCCGCAACTATCATGAAAATTCAAGCAAAATCATGCATGCATGCCTATTCATTACTGTATGCGTTAACGTTGTATACCAGTCGTACAGCAAAGTTATGTATAAAGCAAAATCCCAACTTTGTGCACTTCCTACATTTCACTCCTTACTTCCCTTTCTTTTTCTTTTCCCTTTCTCTTCTTTCCTTCCTTTTTTTTTCAATTTCGAGATCGTCAACACTTCAGACAAGCAAAATTTTTTGATCTCAAAATGGACGACAATAGAGCAGAAAACATTATCAAAAAACAAACAAACAAAGACAGAAGCAAATATATTAGACGGTAATTATGCAGTATACATCAAAAAAAAAAA